CCCCAAAACCCCAAAACCCCAAAACCCCAAAACCCCAGGCCTTGTTATTCTAATTGAAATACTTGTTCAATAAAAATAATCCATTGGTGTAATTTTTTTAAGTACATCAACAAGAAAGTGCTGCCATTACGAATTAGGATAGGGATTACTATAGTTTAGACTTGAGCCCTATTTTAAATTTAAGTGCTGATATTATTAGACCGAATCAAATTCAGTACCACTTATACGGTACAGAAACTATTGTTAAGATCGGAGTCAATTCAACATCTACGATAACATTCAGAATAATGACAAATAGAGATAAGATCGTTATGTTCAATTTTTTCAATATGTTCCATTTGTTCAATATGTTCCTTTTGTTCAATATCTATAATACTAAAATCAAAATATGTACTACTAGTGGCAATAGACTCAGGATCACTAATAGAATACTCAATACCAGAGCAATAGTTCGTAAGATTAATGTCTAATTGTACAGTATCAGCATATTCCTTCAAGATTTTTTTTGTTTCTTCAGTATTTACCTCTCCATAAATACGAATAGTGTCTAAATTTTGAAGAAAGCCATTAGACTGAGATAATCCTTCAATTAAGTGATTAACTTTATAGCCATTCTCTCCATATTCATTTTCCTTCAATTCTATCGTCTTTACTTTTGATCCTTCAAGAGAACTTCTAAATTTTGGGACAGATTTAAGATCAAATATTCAGTCCTGAAATTTTAAAGCGCGGATATGCTTGAATTCCTGAAAAACAGTCATCATTTGGCGTTGACTTAGTTTCCAATCGAGAATATCTAATTTTTCAGTGACTCTGAAGTTCAATTCGATTAGTGCTTTAAAAATAGAACTTAATTTGATTATTTAAACTAGTTGTAGAAAGTTTAAAGCATTGACAGTTTTCAGGAAAATAACTGGTCAAAAAATTTCTGACAGTGTCGCATTTCTCTTCAGTAATCTCCAATTCTAATGTCTCAAACTCACATAACCTTGTTTTAATTAATGAAAGATTTTCTATATTCTCTCCTGTGTCTAATTTAGCCATAATTTTATCCTGAGAGGATATTGATATTTGATCTTCCCACCTTGTATTTGAAGCAAACTCTCTGAATTCTTCAAATTCAGAAAGGTCATATCGAGAAAGCAATGGATCGTTTGGATCTCATAATTTCCTTTTATATAACTCTTTGTTTATAAAATATTCAGAAAGAGATCCGTAATCGAATTCTATGGAACATCTTTTTCTTTGCGTATAAACTGCTTGAACAGCTTCCCCAATAAGGTCTTTGATATCCCTTTCAGTATTGTTTTCAATTGAATCAATTTCTTCTGAGTATTTTAGATGATTTGCCTTAGAATATTCGAGGTTTTGAGCCTTGCATTCCTCTTTCGCATTAGATTCAGAAAATTTTATAGATTCTGAGCCAAGAGAAGAATGATTAAGATTTTCATATTCATTAATACTTCTCAAAATTTCACTATATGTCCCTATTTCAGAATCAGAACCATCTGAATATAAAAATCCATTGTTAAAGTCTTTATCGTTTTTACCAAACGGAACCTTGGAAAGTGAATGATCTTTGATATTATCATAATTATTTTCACCTTGTTGGAAATCTCTTTTGGGTTCTTGGGCTAAATCTTTTTCTGGACTAATTTTTCTAGAGTTAGTCTTTTCTTGAACCTTCTCCTTTGTTATAAAATCAGAAGGGCCGAAAGAAGGTTCAAATGGCTCTTCATATATATCCGAATATTTCTTTGTACATGCTTTTTTAGATTTGTTTTGACAATTTATTCTCATTTGCATGTTAGGTGCAATATCTGTAAAGCAATCATTCTTGTCTTTTTGTGGAGATATGATATCAATTTTGAATTCAATATTTTCTATATTAGACTCAAGCTCTTTATGAATATCATCTTTTCTTAAACACTCTATAATTTCTTCTATTTCTGAATCAACTTGTTTCTTCCTCAAGTATTTTGGGAGCTTGTTTTCCATGATATCTTCGAGAATCTCTATTTTTAGCATATTCTTGATAAAATTAGGATTACTTTCATAGTAGTTCGAAGTTGGGATCCAATAATTTGCTTGCTTTTTAATATCTAAACCACAAAGATTTTGAATTGGATCTAATAAAATTTTTTCAAAATTATAAAAATCTCTCACTTTACTGGAAGGCTCATATCATTGTGTCAAATTCATCAATATTTCATTTTGAAGGACAATAAAGTGTTCATGAGGAAAAGGATGCTCAAGCAAATTTGGTTTCATAATTAGATCTTCAAGTTTAGAACTTAGCTCAGAATCTCTTCAGTATGGGTCTTTAAATACTTCATTTTGAAGGAGATGAAATATTTCTAAAGTCTGTCTGAGATCTAGTTTGAAGAGTGGGATATATTCAGTACACAACATATAAGAAATATGAAAGTTATGCTTGAATCAGAGTTGGATTCCTAGTTCAGGCAGGTAGTAGAAGGATTCTTTATCTCATTTTGCATAATGTTGGCAACTGGCAGCTTCTATATTTACATCAGTTATAAGTTCCTTGGATTTCTCTTATTATCAAGCAAAAATTCTTTGGATTGATGAATTTTAATCTTTTCTAAGCCATAAGATTCAAGAATTTCATTTTCCTTAATAGAGTCCAAGCTTTTAAAAGTACTCCCAATTTCACTAGCATTAGCATTACGATTAAAAATATCGATATCTGATAAATCATTATTTTCTTTTGAAAGATTCAAACTTTGAAATAATTCCTTTTTGCTGTAGATTCTCTCAATTAAGTAATACGACTTAAAAATTCAAGATCTAATCTCCTCTCAAGTTGAGAGACGGATGCCTTCTTTTGTCTCTTCTGTTAATATCGGATTTTCTCCAAGAGAGAATATCCCAATATTATCATTGGAAACTGATAAAAGTTCAAATAACATTTTTGGATCTCAGTATCGCAAGAGATAATAAGAATCAAAATAACTATCTTTCTCATTAATAGATTCTTTTTCAACTCCTGAAATTAACAATTTATCAGATTGATGTTCCATAGTTGGCATTACTTCTTTATCCCATCTCAAATTAAATTCTCTCCACTTTCTACATTTCCTTAATAAAGACTTAAATATCCTCTTAAGATATCTATTTAATAAGTTATAATACTTCAGATTCAACTTGTCCTTCTCCCTTTCCTTCTTCTGAGTAAAGACTTGTTCAAACACCTCCTGTGCCTTTTCTATAAATTGAACATCCTCCTCTGTTATCGCAAACATATCCACCATTCAATTTTGTAGTTCTTCTCACTGATTTTTCTTCCGTTTTAAATCTCAATGCCAGATACAAAACCTTCTGGTCCCATCCATACCAATTTGATTCCAAATGGGTTTGCAACCGCATCCTTTTATGTCTCAAGTAATTGCTCGGGTTTCCATATTTTAATTATTATAAAATTTCCAGATTATTTCCCCTTTATGGGGTTTTGGGGTTTTGGGGTTTTGGGGTTTTGGGG